ATTGTTTTCAACTGATGAAATTACTATCCACATTCTCTGTTTTTCCGTCTTTTCAATATTATTTTCTTTCGAATTTCTAGGTAACTATTATTTTTCTCTCAATTTTCAGTAAGTTTTTTTTCTCATTTCTAAAATTCTATTCTCTTAATTGTTTAACTTCTTAATATTTTTTACTATTACACAAATTGTTTTCAACTGATGAAATTACTATCCACATTCTCTGTTTTTCCGTCTTTTCAATATTATTTTCTTTCGAATTTCTAGGTAACTATTATTTTTCTCTCAATTTTCAGTAAGTTTTTTTTCTCATTTCTAAAATTCTATTCTCTTAATTGTTTAACTTCTTAATATTTTTTACTATTACACAAATTGTTTTCAACTGATGAAATTACTATCCACATTCTCTGTTTTTCCATCTTTTCAATATTATTTTCTTTCGAATTTCTAGGTTACTAATATTTTTCTCTCAATTTTCAGTAAGTTTTTTTTCTCATTTCTAAAATTCTATTCTCTTAATTGTTTAACTTCTTAATATTTTTTACTATTACACAAATTGTTTTCAACTGATGAAATTACTATCCACATTCTCTGTTTTTCCATCTTTTCAATATTATTTTCTTTCAAATTTCTAGGTTACTAATATTTTTCTCTCAACTTTCAATAACTTTTTTTCTCATTTCTAAAATTCTATTCTCTTAATTGTATAACTTCTTAATATTTTTACTATTACACAAATTGTTTTCAACTGATGAAATTACTATCCACATTCTCTGTTTTTCCGTCTTTTCAATATTATTTTCTTTTAGATTTTCTTCTAATTCTTTTTCTTCTAATTCTTTTTCAGAATAATTTAAACGAAAAACTAGACGAAATGAGAAACATGGAGTATGATCCAGAGGAACCAGAATTGTTTAGGATTGAGAGAAATGAAATGGATCTGCAACCTAATTTACCAATGTTTCCAAATAATTTAATTGAAGAGGTGCTTGCCATGGAGGATAATGTAATTGAGGACATTGTTTTGGAAGAACTTCCAATTCCAAGGGTTATAAATGAACCTGAATTTCTAAATGTCTTTTATGATTCACAACAACCTTGGATAAGAAAGAAAACAAAATCACGTATAGTCATTCCACCACCACCACCACCCAAATCCTTGGAGGATATCCTTCAAGAGCTGCTGCTAGCACCGATTGTTGCACCCGTTCCAGCTCCGAGACCACCCATTCCGGCTCCGAGACAGCTAGCACCGATTGTTGCACCCATTCCGGCTCCGAGACAGGTAGCACCGATTGTTGCACCCGTTCCAGCTCCGAGACCACCCATTCCGGCTCCGAGACAGCTAGCACCGATTGTTGCACCCATATCGGCTCCGAGACAGCTAGCACCGATTGTTGCACCCGTTCCAGCTCCGAGACCACCCATTCCGGCTCCGAGACAGCTAGCACCGATTGTTGCACCCATTCCGGCTCCGAGACAGCTAGCACCGATTGTTGCACCCGTTCCAGCTCCGAGACCACCCATTCCGGCTCCGAGACAGCTAGCACCGATTGTTGCACCCATTCCGGCTCCGAGACAGCTAGCACCGATTGTTGCACCCGTTCCAGCTCCGAGGCAAATTGGACGACGCATTGCGCATGTAGCAGCAGGTGATGCACCGGTTAGGAATCTCAGGCAAGTAGCACAACGTGTTGCGCAATCGTTACATCCTAGTCCAAGACGTGCAGTCCTACTCCCTCCACGTCGTCTGCGTATAACTCGACAGCAACGCTTAGTAAAGGCTATGAAGAATTTTGCAACAGCGTCCTCAAGAAAGCGGTAGTTTTCTTTCTCATCAATAGTTTACATTTTTCAAACCTTGACTTTCATTATATTTTTCTTTATTATATTGCATGAATGTTAGAATTTTTATACTAGTACGTTCTCACTTCGACAAAAAAAAACACAAAGTGTCTATATTTTTTTGTTATTCAAACATTAGAAAGGAACGTGTCAATTTATTATTTTATTTTTATACTAGTACGTTCTCACTTTGACAAAAAACACAAAGTGTCTATATTTTTTGTTATGCAAACGTTAGAAAGTAACGTGTCAATTTATTATTTTATTTTTATACTAGTACGTTCTCACTTCGAAAAAAAACACAAAGTGTCTATATTTTTTTTGTTATTCAAACGTTAGAAAGTAACGTGTCAATTTATTATTTTATTTTTATACTAGTACGTTTTCACTTCGACAAAAAAAACACAAAGTGTCTATATTTTTTGTTATGCAAACGTTAGAAAGTAACGTGTCAATTTATTATTTTATTTTTATACTAGTACGTTCTCACTTCAACAACAAACACAAAGTGTCTATATTTTTTGTTATGCAAACGTTAGAAAGTAACGTGTCAATTTATTATTTTATTTTTATACTAGTACGTTCTCACTTCGACAAAAAACACAAAGTGTCTATATTTTTTGTTATGCAAACGTTAGAAAGTAACGTGTCAATTTATTATTTTATTTTTATACTAGTACGTTCTCACTTCGACAAAAAACACAAAGTGTCTATATTTTTTGTTATGCAAACGTTAGAAAGTAACGTGTCAATTTATTATTTTATTTTTATACTAGTACGTTCTCACTTCGACAAAAAACACAAAGTGTCTATATTTTTTGTTATGCAAACGTTAGAAAGTAACGTGTCAATTTATTATTTTATTTTTATACTAGTACGTTCTCACTTCGACAAAAAACACAAAGTGTCTATATTTTTTGTTATGCAAACGTTAGAAAGTAACGTGTCAATTTATTATTTTATTTTTATACTAGTACGTTCTCACTTCGAAAAAAAACACAAAGTGTCTATATTTTTTGTTATGCAAACGTTAGAAAGTGTAAATCGTCCCCAGTAACTTAACGCAAATGTCAATCAACCAGTAAATCAATCAAAGATTATATTTTATCAATTTATGTCATTCAACCTAATAATTGAAATTTATTTTTAATAACATATTATACATAAACAAAAAATTGTTATTAAAATTAACACAGGACTTTAAAAAGTAATTTTAATAAAATTTATTCAACAATTCAAAATTCTCCAAATTCAAATTTTGCGCTTTACCGACGGATGATCAGTATCTTATTATTTACCCTTAACGGCCGCAAAGCTTAATCGTAAGAGTGCATAGTGGAGAGAGCGCGTGGTGGGGTTATCACCATAAGTATTGTGCAACATAGCAGATGAGCACATTCAGCTTACAGCACACGATTGAGATGGAGAACCAGCGGTGCAAGTGCTACAACTGCCTGATGAGGATGGTGTCGCAATACAATGTAAGTATTAATAATTAAGTAAGTAATTAGTAATAATTAAATTGTATTAATATAATATATTTTAGTTGCAGCACCCGGGTCAAGAGGTACCGCTCCAACCAACGCCTCCAACGTACCCGTGGCACCGCCCTGAGACGCCACCACCCTGGGTGGACCTGGGGACGCCACCTCAGTCGCGAGAGGCAACACCGACGCCATCACCAGAGCCTAGGTCGCCGGAAGTGAGGTCTCCAACGCCTCCCAGGTACCCGTGGCATCGGCCAGAGACGCCACCACCCTATGTGGTGCTGGGGACGCCACCTCCACCAGAGGCGCAGCGAACAGCGTCACCGCAGCCCAGGTCGCCGACATTGTTAAGTCAAATATTAATTAATACTCATTTAAAATTACATCAAAGTTGACATAGTGTTAAGTGAGTATTGAGTCAACAGTAAATCAATATTATAATGCTAATAAGAAATGAAAGTTAAGTGAATGGTTATTTAGATTTAACTCTCTACCTACACTGACTTATACCAACTCTAAGGCTTTTAAATACAATTCCCATAGTCCCACCAGGCGACCGAATTGTCGTTTTTTTTTTTTTTTGTATCGACAGCGGTCACTTGAGTAAGCAGAGGGTTAAATCATTGTTGAATAAATGTTAAATGGAGCTATATGTAAAAAGCAAATCTAATGTAATTTTTAAAAATAAAATGTAAACTATGCAAGACACAGAACATGACAAAATAAAATATAACAAAGTAAATTCGAAAAAAAATAAAAAGTTATATAATATATAATATATTATAATTATACATGTGTATGTGATATACATTATAAATATATACAAAATAAATAATTTTTTCCATATGGACTATTGAAACTAAACATAAAATAATAATGAAACTTGGAAACATGTAATAATTATGAAAATACAAAGAAATTAGTTGATAAATAGAAATTTATTTTTAAAAAAGTAAGCAAAATAGAACTACATTAATAAGCTATAAATTGTAGATGAAGAAAGAAAGCATTTAAAATAAAACAATGCAAAAATTTTAAAACGCATGCTAAATTATAAAATTATAAATTTAAAAAATTCAGTGATAAACAAACTAACACATTTTCTTTAACAAGTTGTTTTAAATATGAATTAAAAGAATATCGCAAATTATCACGTTGCATTTAAAATTTTACGTGCGATTTTAAAAATAAAATAATAAATTGACACGTTACTTTCTAACGTTTGCATAACAAAAAATATAGACACTTTGTGTTTTTTTTCGAAGTGAGAACGTACTAGTATAAAAATAAAATAATAAATTGACACGTTACTTTCTAACGTTTGCATAACAAAAAATATAGACACTTTGTGTTTTTTGTCGAAGTGAGAACGTACTAGTATAAAAATAAAATAATAAATTGACACGTTACTTTCTAACGTTTGCATAACAAAAAATATAGAAACTTTGTGTTTTTTGTGGAAGTGAGAACGTACTAGTATAAAAATAAAATAATAAATTGACACGTTCCTTTCTAATGTTTGAATAACAAAAAAATATAGACACTTTGTGTTTTTTTTTGTCGAAGTGAGAACGTACTAGTATAAAAATTCTAACATTCATGCAATATAATAAAGAAAAATATAATGAAAGTCAAGGTTTGAGAAATGTAAACTATTGATGAGAAAGAAAACTACCGCTTTCTTGAGGACGCTGTTGCAAAATTCTTCATAGCCTTTACTAAGCGTTGCTGTCGAGTTATACGCAGACGACGTGGAGGGAGTAGGACTGCACGTCTTGGACTAGGATGTAACGATTGCGCAACACGTTGTGCTACTTGCCTGAGATACCTAACCGGTGCATCACCTGCTGCTACATGCGCAATGCGTCGTCCAATTTGCCTCGGAGCTGGAACGGGTGCAACAATCGGTGCTAGCTGTCTCGGAGCCGGAATGGGTGCAACAATCGGTGCTAGCTGTCTCGGAGCCGGAATGGGTGGTCTCGGAGCTGGAACGGGTGCAACAATCGGTGCTAGCTGTCTCGGAGCCGGAATGGGTGCAACAATCGGTGCTAGCTGTCTCGGAGCCGGAATGGGTGGTCTCGGAGCTGGAACGGGTGCAACAATCGGTGCTAGCTGTCTCGGAGCCGATATGGGTGCAACAATCGGTGCTAGCTGTCTCGGAGCCGGAATGGGTGGTCTCGGAGCTGGAACGGGTGCAACAATCGGTGCTAGCTGTCTCGGAGCCGGAATGGGTGCAACAATCGGTGCTAGCTGTCTCGGAGCCGGAATGGGTGGTCTCAGAGCTGGAACGGGTGCAACAATCGGTGCTAGCTGTCTCGGAGCCGGAATGGGTGCAACAATCGGTGCTAGCTGTCTCGGAGCCGGAATGGGTGGTCTCGGAGCTGGAACGGGTGCAACAATCGGTGCTAGCTGTCTCGGAGCCGGAATGGGTGCAATAATCGGTGCTAGCTGTCTCGGAGCCAGAATGGGTGGTCTCGGAGCTGGAACGGGTGCAACAATCGGTGCTAGCTGTCTCGGAGCCGGAATGGGTGCAACAATCGGTGCTAGCTGTCTCGGAGCCGGAATGGGTGGTCTCGGAGCTGGAACGGGTGCAACAATCGGTGCTAGCATCAGCTCTTGAAGGATATCCTCCAAGGATTTGGGTGGTGGTGGTGGTGGAATGACTATACGTGATTTTGTTTTCTTTCTTATCCAAGGTTGTTGTGAATCATAAAAGACATTTAGAAATTCAGGTTCATTTATATCCCTTGGAATTGGAAGTTCTTCCAAAACAATGTCCACAATTACATTATCCTCCATGGCAAGCACCTCTTCAATTAAATTATTTGGAAACATTGGTAAATTAGGTTGCAGATCCATTTCATTTCTCTCAATCCTAAACAATTCTGGTTCCTCTGGATCATACTTCATGTTTCTCATTTCGTCTAGTTTTTCGTTTAAATTATTCTGAAAAAGAATTAGAAGAAAAAGAATTAGAAGAAAATCTAAAAGAAAATAATATTGAAAAGACGGAAAAACAGAGAATGTGGATAGTAATTTCATCAGTTGAAAACAATTTGTGTAATAGTAAAAATATTAAGAAGTTATACAATTAAGAGAATAGAATTTTAGAAATGAGAAAAAAAGTTATTGAAAATTGAGAGAAAAATATTAGTAACCTAGAAATTCGAAAGACAATAATATTAAAAAGATGGAAAAACAGAGAATGTGGATAGTAATTTCATCAGTTGAAAACAATTTGTGTAATAGTAAAAAATATTAAGAAGTTAAACAATTAAGAGAATAGAATTTTAGAAATGAGAAAAAAAACTTACTGAAAATTGAGAGAAAAATATTAGTAACCTAGAAATTCGAAAGAAAATAATATTGAAAAGATGGAAAAACAGAGAATGTGGATAGTAATTTCATCAGTTGAAAACAATTTGTGTAATAGTAAAAAATATTAAGAAGTTAAACAATTAAGAGAATAGAATTTTAGAAATGAGAAAAAAAACTTACTGAAAATTGAGAGAAAAATGTTAGTTACCTAGAAATTCGAAAGAAAATAATATTGAAAAGATGGAAAAACAGAGAATGTGGATAGTAATTTCATCAGTTGAAAACAATTTGTGTAATAGTAAAAATATTAAGAAGTTATACAATTAAGAGAATAGAATTTTAGAAATGAGAAAAAAAGTTATTAAAAATTGAGAGAAAAATATTAGTAACCTAGAAATTCGAAAGAAAATAATATTGAAAAGATGGAAAAACAGAGAATGTGGATAGTAATTTCATCAGTTGAAAACAATTTGTGTAATAGTGAAAATATTAAGAAGTTATACAATTAAGAGAATAGAATTTTAGAAATGAGAAAAAAAGTTATTGAAAATTGAGAGAAAAATATTAGTAACCTAGAAATTCGAAAGAAAATAATATTGAAAAGATGGAAAAACAGAGAATGTGGATAGTAATTTCATCAGTTGAAAACAATTTGTGTAATAGTAAAAAATATTAAGAAGTTAAACAATTAAGAGAATAGAATTTTAGAAATGAGAAAAAAAACTTACTGAAAATTGAGAGAAAAATATTAGTAACCTAGAAATTCGAAAGAAAATAATATTGAAAAGATGGAAAAACAGAGAATGTGGATAGTAATTTCATCAGTTGAAAACAATTTGTGTAATAGTAAAAAATATTAAGAAGTTAAACAATTAAGAGAATAGAATTTTAGAAATGAGAAAAAAATTTTACTGAAAATTGAGAGAAAAATGTTAGTTACCTAGAAATTCGAAAGAAAATAATATTGAAAAGATGGAAAAACAGAGAATGTGGATAGTAATTTCATCAGTTGAAAACAATTTGTGTAATAGTAAAAATATTAAGAAGTTATACAATTAAGAGAATAGAATTTTAGAAATGAGAAAAAAAGTTATTAAAAATTGAGAGAAAAATATTAGTAACCTAGAAATTCGAAAGAAAATAATATTGAAAACATGGAAAAACAGAGAATGTGGATAGTAATTTCATCAGTTGAAAACAATTTGTGTAATAGTAAAAATATTAAGAAGTTATACAATTAAGAGAATAGAATTTTAGAAATGAGAAAAAAAGTTATTGAAAATTGAGAGAAAAATATTAGTAACCTAGAAATTCGAAAGACAATAATATTAAAAAGATGGAAAAACAGAGAATGTGGATAGTAATTTCATCAGTTGAAAACAATTTGTGTAATAGTAAAAAATATTAAGAAGTTAAACAATTAAGAGAATAGAATTTTAGAAATGAGAAAAAAAACTTACTGAAAATTGAGAGAAAAATATTAGTAACCTAGAAATTCGAAAGAAAATAATATTGAAAAGATGGAAAAACAGAGAATGTGGATAGTAATTTTATCAGTTGAAAACAATTTGTGTAATAGTAAAAAATATTAAGAAGTTAAACAATTAAGAGAATAGAATTTTAGAAATGAGAAAAAAAGTTATTAAAAATTGAGAGAAAAATATTAGTAACCTAGAAATTCGAAAGAAAATAATATTGAAAAGATGGAAAAACAGAGAATGTGGATAGTAATTTCATCAGTTGAAAACAATTTGTGTAATAGTAAAAAATATTAAGAAGTTAAACAATTAAGAGAATAGAATTTTAGAAATGAGAAAGAAAACTTACTGAAAATTGAGAGAAAAATATTAGTTACCTAGAAATTCGAAAGAAAATAATATTGAAAAGATAGAAAAACAGAGAATGTGGATAGTAATTTCATCAGTTGAAAGCAATTTGTGTAATAGTAAAAATATTAAGAAGTTAAACAATTAAGAGAATAGAATTTTAGAAATGAGAAAAAAAACTTACTAAAAATTGAGAGAAAAATATTAGTAACCTAGAAATTCGAAAGAAAATAATATTGAAAAGATGGAAAAACAGAGAATGTGGATAGTAATTTCATCAGTTGAAAACAATTTGTGTAATAGTAAAAATATTAAGATGTTATACAATTAAGAGAATAGAATTTTAGAAATGAGAAAAAAAGTTATTGAAAATTGAGAGAAAAATATTAGTAACCTAGAAATTCGAAAGAAAATAATATTGAAAAGACGGAAAAACAGAGAATGTGGATAGTAATTTCATCAGTTGAAAACAATTTGTGTAATAGTAAAAATATTAAGAAGTTATACAATTAAGAGAATAGAATTTTAGAAATGAGAAAAAAAGTTATTGAAAATTGAGAGAAAAATATTAGTAACCTAGAAATTCGAAAGAAAATAATATTGAAAAGATGGAAAAACAGAGAATGTGGATAGTAATTTCATCAGTTGAAAACAATTTGTGTAATAGTAAAAAATATTAAGAAGTTAAACAATTAAGAGAATAGAATTTTAGAAATGAGAAAAAAAACTTACTGAAAATTGAGAGAAAAATATTAGTAACCTAGAAATTCGAAAGAAAATAATATTGAAAAGATGGAAAAACAGAGAATGTGGATAGTAATTTTATCAGTTGAAAACAATTTGTGTAATAGTAAAAAATATTAAGAAGTTAAACAATTAAGAGAATAGAATTTTAGAAATGAGAAAAAAAGTTATTAAAAATTGAGAGAAAAATATTAGTAACCTAGAAATTCGAAAGAAAATAATATTGAAAAGATGGAAAAACAGAGAATGTGGATAGTAATTTCATCAGTTGAAAGCAATTTGTGTAATAGTAAAAATATTAAGAAGTTATACAATTAAGAGAATAGAATTTTAGAAATGAGAAAAAAAGTTATTGAAAATTGAGAGAAAAATATTAGTAACCTAGAAATTCGAAAGAAAATAATATTGAAAAGATGGATAAACAGAGAATGTGGATAGTAATTTCATCAGTTGAAAACAATTTGTGTAATAGTAAAAAATATTAAGAAGTTAAACAATTAAGAGAATAGAATTTTAGAAATGAGAAAAAAAACTTACTGAAAATTGAGAGAAAAATATTAGTAACCTAGAAATTCGAAAGAAAATAATATTGAAAAGACGGAAAAACAGAGAATGTGGATAGTAATTTCATCAGTTGAAAACAAGCTAAAGTGAGGTTAAAATTGTATGAAATATATATAATTATTATTTACTTACCATTATTTTATTATTTCAGTCTAATGAACACGCCACTTTAATGTAAATGTGATTTGCTTATTGTAAAAGTTAAGGTTAGATTGGAATATGGCGGCTATGCATCTCAGGGGTGGTATAATCAAACTAAACCCCCATTCTTTCACAATATTTACAATATTCACATTTGTTACAATTTTTTATTGAGTGTCTATGTTTCTCAATAGTTAAAAATTTAAATGTTTTCTTTAATTACTTCATGAATATATAAAATAGTAAATTTAAAGTATTATGTAAAATAAAATTTGAATATTCCCGCCACACATTAAACAAGTAGAGAAATGTGGAAATCACAAACCAATATTTCTAAAATATAAGTGAATAAACATGTATTGCTTTAAAATAATAATAAGCATATACTTTTTATCAAAATTTATGTCTCATTTATAAAATTAACAAGATTATTATTACTATTTTCGAAATTAAAACTTAATAATTTTAAATAATGAAACCAGCCAATGAGAAAACGTTTATTTTTTTAGAGCCGCTGAACATCGATTCATAAATATCGAATCTAAAATTGTCCTTGGCGCGAATTTTATTTTAAATTCAGAAATGCTATTACAAATTTAAGCATATGTTATAGAAAAATTAACTTACCTTTATTAATAAATTATTATTATAAATAATTTTATTATTATTATTATTTTTATTATTATTATTATTAAACAAAAAAAAAGTTAATTAAACTTACCTTACTTAAATAAATAGTTATAGTTTTAGAATATATAAATATTAATTATAAATAAACATTTTATTTTTACATATAATAAACATATATTTTCATATATTTGTAAACAGTAATTCTTGTAAACGATAATTATACGAATTTAAAATTAAACAAGTGTAAATATTGTATATTGCATATAATAAATGTATGAACTGTTATTAATACTGTATTTAATGAAATACCTTCATTAGTATTACGTTAGATAATAAGGTATACATTTTAAGGTTATGTTTAATGAAATAGATTTTAAGGTTATGTTTAATACAATATATTTTAAGGTTATGTTTAATACAATATATTTTAAGGTTATGTTTAATATAATATATTTTAAGGTTATGTTTAATATAATAGATTTCAACAACTTTTACAAGCGCCATCTATTAAAATTTTAATAATCTTATTAGTGTAAACAATATGGCACCATCTTTGCCCGCGAAATACAAACGATTCAGTTGTGGCGCCATCTCTCGGCACAACACTCAAACCGCACTCTGTCGGTAAAACAAAATGGCGGCTCACTGTTTAAGCAGTTTGAATTTATCAAATAAAATTTTTAAATTTCCCGCCAA